ATTAATTAATTAATTAAATAGATATATGTATGGTTACAATTCAGTATGGTCAAGATCAACGTCTGAAAGATCAATTTCTTCTTCTTTGGGTGGAACGCCATCCTTTCCATCCCAAGGCTCGATTTTGATGACTTTCGGGAAGGTAGCACCCTATAAGAATAATATTATCTTCAATTTCTAATCAAATTCAGGTGCAATACTGGTCGGGTGGGCATGCCAATTGTTTTCAGTACGGTAGACTCAAAATGTACGTGGGAACTGATGGTTGCTATGACGCAACGAGACGCTATGCAAAAACTCGCACATTCCAATTTTTCACGCATCGAAAGTGACTCGCCCTACCCCCGCTGGACTGGCTACACTCCCTTTGGCTCACAAAATCCTCGCTTCGCACTGAGGGAGCGAAAGTGCTCCTCCCCTCCAAGGCTTGATGCATCAATTCTCAAAAAACGGCAATGGGTACCGGTTCCCACGTACATACATTTAGCGCCCACCGTATTCAAAAAATCGGCGTGCCCACCCAACTAACATTGCACCCAAATTTATCTCTATAAAGAATGAAAGCCTTGCAAGCTCACCTTTATTGGCGCAGTTTGTCCTTTGCCATAGCTGAGGTCTCGCAGAAACTCGCGTATTCCGTCTTTATCAAAGGAGCCCTAAAACATTATCGTTAAAGATAAATATAATAGATAGAGTTACAATATGAAAGCACCTTGAGCATGGAGAACTTCATTTTTCTATAGTTCAAAGCCACCATCGCAGGATAACCGAATCCTCCGACACTGAGAGCTTCTTCCAGTTCCGACTGAGATCCACCTTCGGCCCATATCCATCTGAAGAAGTAAGATTAACGACACCTTCCAAATGATATGGTTAGCTCTTACCCCCAGCCATTTTTCTTGAAGTAGTCGCCTAGGTCACGCAGAAGACTCAGGTATTTCTCACGACACTTCGCTTGACAGTCGAGAATGTGGGGAAGGAATGCAAAAATGCACAACTGCTTTCCTTGACACTGCTCTGAAAAATATCATAGTGAGTCAGTACTGATTCCCTCGAAAAAGTCCTACCTTCGACAATTTCCGAGCTCGTAGCTTGCACGATTTCAGGAGGTGGAAGATTTTCCATTGCCTAAATGTCAATACAGTAGAATAATGATGAAGATGAACAGCAAGACAAACAATACTAACGAGTTTTGAGATGAATTTGACCACCTTTCTTTCTTCGTACCCTTCGCTGAACGCTTGCTTCTTACCCTATTTTCTAGTTGCTACTGCCTTATCACTGTTAACATATAATAGCGTTCAGTATTATTACCATATACACATGGATGAATACGACAGATAAGTACTACGCTATCTCAAACTAAGGCACAAAGGCACAAGGAGCCGGGCACAAGCCGAGTGGACGATTCCCTTCGTTCCGTAGCGAAGAACTCTGGAGGTTGTTCACAGATGTGGCATTTCTGTGCATAGAACTCGCTTGACAAGAGCGCAAAAGCTTCGAAAAGTTTGCTGCAGCAGCTGCGTTGCAAGTTCCTCCGTCAGTTGCGAGGGCTGCCTGTCTAACGCCCTCTCATCTGTTATTCTCTCTCGCCTCATACTCTCCCTCCCGCTCAGTCTTATGTCATTGCCTTAACACAGCTGTACTACGAAGGTGAGCTAGCCCTTAAGATGGACATTATCGACAGATTTTTTTCCTTTTCCTTGCTCCCGTCTCCATGCACCGCGTACTTTGCAGATTCATGCGGCAAGAACCACATCGAGTGTGACTGGGCAGTGCCTTCAGTAAAAATGTGGCCGCTGAAGAATGTAATAACTAATTAGGTTCTCCAAAATCACCTCAAAAGCCATGATTATTACAGAAATTGTTTGTTGGTGAAAAAACGTGGAAGAAAGAATCCTACAAGAAGCTAGATCCCTGAGGAACAGGAACTTAGGCGGCAAAGGCCGTTCTTGTAGCGGCCTAGCAAGGCAGTACACGTAGTGACCGCCTACTACGCTTAGCTCAAAAGATTTTCAACTGTGGTTTCTTACAAAATCTGGCTTCGAAAATGGAAAATGAAAATAAAAAGCGCTCAAAAATGTAAAATTCTATACGCAGTGCACCACATCACAGACTGACGCTGGCCAGCAAGCGTTGCGTGAAACTAAAGCCAACTTTTTACAGTTATATTACAACTTAAGGACTGTGATGATTTTACCTTGAGCGCCCAACTGACAATGTCCGATGTGGTTCTACCTCCGTCATAATCAACGGCGTCCGATTCTGTCGATCCTGGCGCAAAGTATTTGATGGTGGGGAATCTCGAACTCCCAAAGTTTGTGCTCGTCGACAGACTGGGTGTGATACTAGTAGTGCACGTCGAGGCCTCCACCTTAAACATTGCGGTGGTAATTACGCATGCCTCTAAAAATTATGACGTGTGCTGCGCCAGCTTCCGCGCAGATTGCTTACAGATTATTTCACCCAAATTGACGACCCCTGTAGGTATTCAGAATGAAGCGGGAATCACCATGCTATACTTTATGATACTACGACTTCGGGATAACGATTTTCGTGATACGAGTAAAAAATTCAAAAGAGCTAGGGTTATCACAAAACTTCGAAACAAATAACAGAAAAGATGTAGCGCGATCACCATTCACAAAACAAAAAAAAATCACAGAAAAGGTCACACCTTGACTTTTCCTTTCAGCTGTGTAGCAGCTGCTTTCCAGTGAGGCGCAAGATTCTTACAATGTCCGCACCATGGAGCGTAAAACTCAACAAGCCAAGTATCCTTGCTATTCAAAACGAGCTAGAAACAACAAGAATAGATGAACGATCATAAAGTACCTTCATAATGTAATTGACTACGAATTAACACTTTCGTACCTTCTCGAAATTGGCATCTGTGAGCTCAATGACATCGTCGCTACCGCTGCCGCCACCACCACCGCCGCTTTCTTTGGAGCCACCACCAGATTTTCCACCAAGTCGAGCCGACACTGCCTTTTTAACTTCATCAAGCACTGTGGAGCTGATTGCTTGCGCAGTTCTGGCACCTAAAGTGAAATATTGGGAGTAAAAAAGCAAAATATCAAATGCACAGTTTACTACTGACATCGAGTGCTTTTGTATTTAGTATCAAAGGCATCGTGCACGAAAATCATGAGGCGCTATTTCTACGGAAAATCGGTTCTTTAAGGCCGAGTCCGCGATCCGTCGCGCGAAGATTGCACGTAGCCCATTTAAAAATTTGAAAAAGTGAATATGAAATAAGCAGGGTCATGAACAGTCGTCACTCAAGACAGTCCCCACATCATTTTCCCCGATGTTCGGGCTTAGAACTCGTTCGAAAACTTGCTGGAAAGACCGTTTTCCTCCAGTTTGGTTTCCGTCTAAGGGCACGTGCGAAACGGAAGTCAAAATAAGTCTTGATTATAAAATTCTAAGTTTATGTGTTTACTCGAACCTAACTATTTTTATTTGCTGCCCACTTGTGTTTACGCTCCATCCATTGTGGTTGGAACTAAGCTCATTTTAAGATCGCTCAGTACGCTATACGCCTTGCTCGTTTCTACCGTTTATTTTACCTCATATCAGTCGTCAATTTTTGTTGTGCGCGAAAACCACTTAGAGAGCCTCACCTGCCGTAGTTGGTTGTCCTTGGTCTGGTCTATCAATCCAGTGCATTCACTTCCCGTTTCCCCGCCCTCCGGATTGCTGACAAGGGAAGG